GCTAAATCGATATATGTAGCGGTAATGGATTGTTTTGGCTGATTCAATATGTAGCGGTAATGAGTTGAAATTTTTGGCAATGTAGCGGTAATGTTGATGGAAAATATGATTTATTTGAATAAATTTATTTTAAAATGATATGATAAATTTCTTTTTCCAATAAATTAAAAAATGTCCAAAAGAAAAACAATTCAGCGTATTGGGAATATCACTTTTTTAAATAAGAGGTCAGAAGAAAAAGATCGATAGAAAGAATAAAAAGAAAAGTATTCGAATTCAGTTTACTGTTTAATTTATTTTGCAGAAATAATGCTAATTATTAGAACTCATAAACATGCATGATTGTAATTGAGATAAATGCATTTAAATTCAAGTGAATAAATTAATTTCTTATATAACTAGGTCAATACACATACATGTTTCGGAATACAATTTTAAACCATAGTGTGTTATAATTAACCTATGACATTTAAAATGATAACATTTTATTCCGAAACAAGAATGATTAAAAGTGTCCAAAACTGATATTAAATTGATTAATGTACAAAAAATTTGCTTAATAAGTAGAGTTTTTATGCAAACATGTCCATATTCATTTACAAAAGATTGACATGCTTATAATGTTTTAAAAATGCAGCATTTTATGCTTGAGAAAAAAACATCGATTGCTCTCATAGTATCAGATGCACTTAAGGTAAAAATCCTACCCTAAAATGAACAAATGTTTGATTTCCGGAAAAAAAGAAAAAAAAAAAACTTTGACTACATGTAACTCTGATCTCAAGTATTCGCATAAGTATGTGCATAATTTATTTATAATAAGTGTTTTTGAAATTGAACACTATTTGCTTTAACATTAATTTTATCAGGAAACCATCTTATTTCATTGCTTTTTATTTCCATTAATTTGATTTTTTTGTTTTAATTAATTTGATTTTTTGTTTTAATTAGCTGAATTAGAATTTAAACACATGATTTACGGTACAGATTCCAGATTTCAAAAACATTACCAGTATCTTACTTTTGCATGACCAATTTATTTTCCTAATACACCACATGATACATGTAGTACTTAAACATTTCAAATAAGGCAAGCTATGATATCAACTCACAGAGATTAAAAATGAAAAGATATAAACTAAAAAAAAATACAATTTAAATTTGTAAATGTAAATGAAAATTTAAAAAAAACATATATTTTTCTATTATATTAATTAATTTGAATTATTTAAAATCTGTATCGAATTATTAATAAATATTTATGTTAATTACCATTCATAAAATGATCAGATTTTGCTTATATTATATTAATTAGCTTTCTTTCCAGGGTTCATCTGAACAGACTATAGGTCACCTGTAATTAATTTCTTTTGTTCTCTCCCTCCTCTTACCTGTACACCATTCCCACCTAGCCAAAACCAGTCACCTATACTTTTTTTTCAGAATTTTGGCTAAGTGGGAAGACACCATTTCAATAGGGTGGTGTAAATTAAAATCTTCATTAGTATAATTTTTTTTACCGAGTATACAAATTTTACATTTTGTTTTAAACTGAAGATTGGTACCTGTATAATCTAATATACAAGCACCTATGTTAAGGTCAAAATCTAGTAAATGCCTTTAGACTAATTTTTTTTTTTTACCTCTTTAGACTAATAGATCCATTATGACGTCATAATCAATTTCAACTTTCTTTTTCCCGTACTTTACGGCTTTAGCAGAATTATGTAGAAAATAGGGTATTTTCATGACATTCAATTTGAAATCATATGAAAAGTAAACCGGATACCTATATTTAATTTGACATTATTTTAAAGAAGAGGCCATGAACAAACAAATTACCGTTTTCTGAGAGACTGTAGGCAATCTGGATACATTTCCTTTGTCGAAAATAGTAAAAACTCCCATATTCATGACTGGTTTTCTTAATTTTGCATTGAAAATGACAGTTTAAAATACAGTTTTTCATCTTGTTTACCTACAATTTATGCCCCGAAACACCTTATTTGACCAAGCTAAAGTTTAAAGCATCAATAAAGGAATGTATTATGCCAGTAGCTGTAATTCGAATAAAAAATATATGATTTAACGAAAATATCTCTTAATATATCACTTAAAAATTCTTTTTCAAAAATGGAATAAATTGTGTCTAAAGAAATTGTGAATGTGAATGACAGGAGAGTTAGCAAAACTGCAGAACAAATAACAATAAATATACATGTAAATGTGATCTAGAACAAAAACATCAAGGAATAGTGCATATACATACATGCAGCTATAACGTCATTACTTATGTCACGTGAACTAACGTAATAATGATCTAACGTCATAATAGTTACTACAACAAAACTTCAAGGTAAAAGCCCTGTGAATGCAGGCCATTCTATAATCTAATTAATACAATAATCTGTATCCTTTATCATCTTTTGCTTTAAAATAACCTTTTTTTATTCCTTTATTTATTTATTTATTACAGGTGTATTAATAGTATTTCGGATAAGAAATGGATATGAATGAAATTCTAGATTTTGGAGAAAGTGCCGTTACGGATGTGGTAAGTGACAATCACGGACATATATATAAATAGAATTTTAAAAAAAATCTTTAATCCTTTCTTTCATTGTTGGACGAAACGCCGGTCAATGAGCTCAGTCCGATATGCATTTACACAATTCTATATTAATTTTTTTTTTCAGGAGACAAAACTTAATATTTTAAAATTCGATTACAACTGGTGCGATGCAGTCGAAGAGCATGAAAGACAAATGGAGGTATTCAGATACTACTATTGAGATTTAAAAAGTTTGAATCGTAGAATAATTCTTATTTAAATTGTTATTTCCTTTTTTAAACTCGATAATCAGTATATGGTGGTAATGGCACATATGAAAATATAGAGGTAACATAATTCTCTTCTTTTGGGGGTGGGGTGGAGGTTAGTTTATATAAGGGGCCCCTTTAAGATAATTTTTTAAATATAATTTTACAATAATTTACAACGTAAGATTTTCTAAAATTTCACTTGTGTGAGGAATAAGGAGACTGTAAACTTGTTGAATATATTACAAGAAAAAAAAATCAAACACACCTATCTTTAAAAAGATCTACTGTTCATACAAAGTACCTCCTTTGTAAATATATTTGATTCAACTATTAAAGTGGATGTGAATGAAGGTATGTTTTAAAATTTTATTTAGACGGAGAAATTTGAGACCTGTAAGTTCGACAACGCTGCAAGTGAAAAAGTCGAGGATAAGAGAAAAATTGAGGTATTTCAATACATTTTTAAAAAGGGCTGAGATCTAAAATGGGATAAAATTAGAGCTTAAGTTCTTGTTTTTTTTTTTTTTTTATAAAGTGAATTTTTAATTGTGCAAAAAAAAAAAAAAAAATAAAAAAAAAAATAAAAAAAAAAAAAAAAAAAAACAAAAAAAAAAAAAAAAAAAAAAAACAAACAAACAAAACAAAAACAAAAAACAAAAAACAAAAACAAAACAAAAAACAAAACAAAACAAAACAAAAAAAACCCCTTGCAAAATGCATTATTAACCGAAGGATATGACATTCAAATGTCCATCCAAAATCATAAAAACTTACATGTTGCAGTTGAAAAAAAAAACGGATACAATAATTAATGTACGAGGGCTGTTCAATAAATTATGTCCTGAACTGTAAGACATACAATACAGATATCATATGACATTAAACTTGACTTTCTCTCATTATTGAATCTTTACTGAATTTATAACAGTTTATGTGACCATTTTTCATCACATAGTTTCATCGTGAGAAGCTGGGAAACAAGGGCTATTCGAGACACTGCATTATACATGTAAATGAATGATAAAGAATCAGTAAACTAGAGTGAAAATAAAGGCTACATGAAAGCTGCTGTAAAACTTGTTAAAAATCCCAAAGAAATATTCACTGAAATATGTGTCATTTACAGCAACCGATGCCTGATTTATAGACAAAGGAGCAGGTGGATTTCAATGATAAAAAAATATATAATGGGAATCAAAAATGGGTACCCTCTTTGCCAACAAAAATTATAACAACTTATGTACTGTTTGCCAAATTTCAACAAATAATATTTGATGTATGATTGACTTTAAGACACAAAGCAAATTTGATAGACATCATATCGGGAGTAATTTACACTGTTTTTAAGAAACGTTTGATAGTAAAAAAAACTTGGTACTCAAAGGTCACCCTATATTTTGAAAAACGAGTGAAAACGACAGCGTGTACGAAAGTCTTAACACTTATTTTAAAATATCAGTAATTGTAGTTATCCATGTTTTTTTATATTCAAAATATTGGAGCATGAATCTATTGATTAAAATTGCGAAAGTCTAACAAAAGCAAAGGTATGTAAGAGCACAAAGAGATTTATATGCAATTTTCTTAAATATTAGTGGTATTGTTGTTCAAATTCGTATTCGGGGAGACAGTTTAATTTCTGAAGGAATCTAGAAAGCAAATTTTTTGCAAAAAAATCGAAAGGTTTATTAGAGGAAGGACCCAGAATCAGGAATCCACTGCATTAAATTTCTTCATGACAACGTCCAAACCCGCACGCTCTGAAGAGTAAAGGGGTTTTCGGGATACAGAAAGTTAATGTTTTTTCACATTAACAATATTCGCCAGATCTTTGACCTTTTGACTTGTTTCTATTTCCAAACTTGAAAAATCACCTTTCAGAAAGAAAAAAACAAGTCCAGAAAATCATTGGATCTGCCATTTTCCAGTATACTGGGTCATACCCAAAAATGAGTTCTAAAATCAATCAGAAATTAGATAAAAAATGTTACGGACATGTGTTTGAATTAAAAGAGTTAAATAAGTAAAATCATGAAGACTAAATCATTGAAAAGCGTCGTTTGCTTCTTTCTGAGCACCGAGGACATTATTTATTGAACAGCCCTCGTACATGTACATGGAAATATAGTTATTATAGTTTATGTTAATTAATGAATTTTCTCTTTAAAGCGATGTGCAGAAATTGAAAGAGAAGTAAAGTCCACTCTTTTCGGGAAAATAAAAAAGCGACATTACCGGCAGAAAGGAGCATACTGTCAGGTAGATTTTACATTTATATCAGATCCTTTGTCATTTACTAGTATATAATTTATCTACATTGTGTATTCTGAAAACGGTGTTTAAATTTAAACTTGTTTTTTCTCGTAGAAATGAAGAAGAGATGTTAGACAATCCCCTAAAAGATAAGGTAAGCATTGTTTATATCGTCATGCATGGTGTGATTTTTTTTGAGTTCTTTCTTTCAATTTCTAATTCGTTGGGGAACTATAGGGAGTTGTAGTGAAATGTTGATAATTTTTCTCGTCTTTTTTTTAAAATTATTTTTCTCGATATTTTCAAATAGGAGATTAATATCACGGATCAATGTGCAGAAATTGAGAGAGAAATTAAGAAACGTCTTTTTGGACAGAAAACAAACAGCGACATCACCGACAGAGGGGAGAATTTTGCCAGGTACGTAGAATCTACAATTACATCAAAATCTTTTAATTTTGTCACACATATACAGGTAGATTGTTATTTCCTGATTTATAAAGATGGTTAGTTTTGAATCCTTTTTTTTTTTCTTTGTAGCGAAGAAGCACAGATTTTTAAACACAAGCCCCTGAAAGAGCCCCTGCAAGATTTGGTAAGTACAGTTTTATTAAATTATTAAGGGGTGACTGATTTTGTTCTGATTTACGTTTCTTTCCCTTTTTTATTCGTTGTGGGCGGGGGATTTAGTGATAACATTTTTGGTATTTGTTATGGTTGAAAATTTTCAATAATTTCAAATAGGTTAAACCGAAGACATTAGCAAATATATAAATCAGTAATATGTATGATGAAATAAGGCGGTTTCTTTTATGATGAAATAAGGCGGTTTCTTTCAAAATAATGCTGAAGAAGAGGGATAAGATGAAAATACTCAAATGATAATTTAGAGGCCTTTGGTGCGATGCATATGTTAAAGTAACAGTGTATAGTAATATTCTTCGAGTTTTTAAAAAAAATTTGGAGTTACATGTAATTTAATATGCGCTTTTAAAATTTGCAGAGGGAGAAACTGGAAATGCATAAATTTGATAACCCGTGGACTGACGGTGTGGAGAAAGAAATGAAAACATACAAGGTATTGCAAAATAAATTACTGTCGAATCCATAAATAAATGAGGGACAATTTCTGTGGATTGCTTGAATTTCACTGGTTCGTTGGGGCAGAATTTCGTGTATTCCCCTTTGCCTACAGAAAGAAATATGATTTTGTAACTAACTTCTATTACCTTATGGAGGATGTTTATTCGTGGATGAAAAGTACTCACGAATCTAAACTATTTTCTTTTGATAAACAAAATAGGGAAAAAAGAATTACATGGTAGAGAAAAAAATGTTATCTGATCATTTGAAAAAAAAATTAACATTGGCTACAAGTATACCCCTAACTATTTTGTAGAAAATAAGAGCAACGGATAGAGCAATCAACAAAAAGACGAAGTCGAGTGTAAAGAAGGCCATCAAAAAGGAAACTAAAGACGACTTTCGAATTCTTAGGTAATGTGTTATATCGTAAATAAATTTTGTAGAATTTACTATTAGTTTTGAATTTCTTAAATTGCAAAACTTTAATGTAACAAATGCATGATGACCTGTGTTGATTTCTTACTTTAAATCTTTTAACAAAATATGTAGAATTTAAAATTTTTCTTTTTTATCTAGGTTAAAGTCAGTATGCTGAAATATCCTGTTTTTATTACGTTTTAAAATTCAAAACAAATGAATATATCAAATATTATTGCAAAGCTTTTACTTTTTACGCAGAGAGAGCCCAGAAAAAGACAAGAGAGAAAGGCAATCTAAAGTGCATTATGAAGAAGACATCCAAAAGGATCTTCAAACCATCCAGACAAAAGTATCTGAAGAAAATCAAGAGACCCCAAATCTTCAGCCATTGGCTACGACAAATGATGAGAGAAAGGTATTGCATACTTGTATTGCAGACTTTGACAACTTCCCTATCTTTTGTCTTTGCGTTAGCACACGAAAGCAACAGCAGGGAATTACAAAAGATATTTTACCTAATTTATATGAATTCAATTAAATCTGAATCTGGAATGTTTTTGATATGTGTCATGTTGTAAATTTGAATAGTGGATGGCAATGAATACAAAATTAGAAAGTTATAATCTTGTACATTTTCTACTTTCTGCCATCTAGTAAATTTACAATTTCAAATATGACAGTTTTTGTTGAAAAGTCGACATATGCTGTGTGGGCGGCAATACATACAAAATTAAAAAGAAATTAATATATTATCTTGTACATTTTGTAAATTTAAAATTTCAAACAGGACACAGTTTTGTCGAAAAGCAGACAAATGCTATCTATAATAGTATATATTTTAAAATTTCTTTCCCAAGCTTGTGATGTCTATGAGGTCTTTGACAATGAAGGTGACGATGATGTATTCATGCCGAGGAAACTTTTCCTGTTCAACATCTGTGATTTTAAGGTACTGAAAAAAAATTCTTAAAGCTTTTCACTAACTGTTTGAAAAAAGTGAGAGATAGAAACAAGTTGGAAACGAAATGATCTTGTTAATTCATTTGAGTCCATTTGTACTTCAAAAATTCCAAAATAAATTTTATGTGTGTGGCAGTTCTACAATTTTTCATGTAGCTTACTCATTACACGTATATCGACAATTAATTAATTCTTTTTATTTCATTGGATGTAGAGTCAAGAAAAAATGGCTTGATACAGTGGAAAAGCAAAAGACAGCAAAGAGCAATTGGATTTTTTAAAAACAAGATTTTACTATTTTAAATGGATTGTTTTGAGAGAAAATAAATTTGCTTTAGATCAACATTTTGTTATTGTAGAACACAGCAATGTTCATTATTTAATTATAAAACTGGAATGTTGATTAAACTTCCAAATTATAAGTTACTAGTGTACATGTGCGAAAAGAGAGTATAAGCTACATTGAGTAATGTTGTACATTACTCATAGTGATAAATTAAAGCAATAAAAATTGATTCAACGTTTACGAATCCATGATTGATTGATTGATTGATTGTATATTGTTTAACGTCCCTCTCGAGAATTTTTCATTCATATGGAGAGGCCACCACTTGCCAATGGAGAGCTGCAAATTTTGTCCTATACTTGGCACTAAGGGTCATTGAGCAGGGAGGGATCTTTTTTTTGCCAGCACATACTACGAAATGGGACCTCGGTTTATACGGTCTCATTCGAAGGACCGGTCTCCTCGTCGAACCCGCGACGTAAGGAGATTGACTTCTTATTTTGCGACTCTAGAGCAGACGCTCTAATCACTGCGCCAAGCGGGCGACTACGACTCAATGAAGACAACTCCAATTGTTAATGAGAAAGGTCTTGTGTTACAATTTTGAATTCAGTGAATTTAAAACTAACTATAACACTCTAGATAATTATAATTAGTTTCAAATTCTCTCAGTTCTAAAACTTTAATGTAACACTTGTACAACTAGAAATTACACTGTTTCAACTCAACTGTCTTGAGCAGTACAACCTTAGGCTCGGATGTTTCTGAACATCTGTTCATCAGAAATTAAGGAGGAACATAATTGGTTGATGAAATTCATTGTTGTACAAACAAAACAATATCTATTTTCCTGCTTTAAACAAAACAAAAAACTATATGATAACAGTAAACCAACTTTTATTCGCGTGCGAGAAATTATCGCGAGTTTCGTCATCGCGAATATCAGTTGCTGCGAACCGGTCTTTAAAGTCTCTGTTTGAAATACGTGTATCTCATTGATTATATTTCTTTTATTTCACGCTTGTTTAAAGTCAGAAGGGGAAGTGTGAATGTGTAAGTAAATGTGAGCAAAAATCTCATTATGTCACTTAAAATGTCTTCTATCTAAAATTAAACAAGATGTGTTTGTGAAACACTAAGCGCCCGGCGGCAAATAAGTTAAAAAAAATTTAGCATATAGGTCACAGTCAAGGTCACAAGGTCATTGATCTTGGTGTCATTTAAAAGAACTTGATTAGTGAAGTATGCATACCAAATATGAAGTCTCTATCTCTCATGGTTCAAAAGTTATGGTGAAGGTTCAAAAAAGCTATTTTAAGCATATAGGACACAGTCAACGTCACAAGGTCATTGACCTTGGTGTCATGTGGAAGGGCTTATTTAGTGGAGTATACATGCCAAATATTAAGTCTCTATCTTTCTTCGTTCAAAAGTTATGGTGAAGGTTAAAGTTTGCCGACAAAAAAGCTATATTTAGCGTATAGGTCACAGTCAAGGTCACAAGGTCATTGACCATGGTGTCATTTAAAAAAGCTTATTCAGTGGTGTATGCACACCAAATATGAAGTTTCTATCTTTTATGGTTCAAAAGTTATGGCGAAGGTTCAAGTTTGCAGAAAAAAACTATTTTTAGCATATAGGTCACAGTCAAGGTCAAAAGGTCATTGGCCTTGATGTCATTTAATGAGCTTAATTAGTGGAGTATGCATACCAAGTATGAAGTATCAACTATTCATGGTTCAAAAGTTATGACGAAGGTTAAAGTTTGCAGAAAAAAAAATATTTTTAGCATATAGTTCACAGTTAAGGTCACAAAGTCATTGAACTTGATGTCTTTTGAAAGAGCTTAATTAGTGGAGTATGCACATGCACACCGAATATGAAGTCTTAACTATTCATGGTTCAAAAGTTATGGCGAAGGTTAAAGTTTGCAGAGAAACAGACAAACAGATAAACAAACAGACAGACAGAGAGGACAAAAACAATATACGCCTCGGATCTTTCGTTCCGGGCGCATAAAAAATTATAATATGTAAAAAAAAATCAGAAGGAAAATGAGCGCAATTCATTATGTCCGTATAAGGAATTCGTTAAATATCTATAGCTGGGGATCCAAGAAATTTTCCATATATCCATGAATTCGCAATAACTTGTGTTCGCACTAAACAAGTTTTACTGTAATTAGCTAGAAAAAAATCCAACCAAATAGCAAAAATGTTCTTTTTTTGCCTCGAGTCTTTCCTATTAAACGAAATATGAATCGTTGTAAAAGACTGAAAAAAGGTTCAACGGAATACACTGTACATGTTCCTGGAGTTACTTTCACGGACGTACTAGTCTATGTATAGCCATGAAATGTGACTCCTAGATTTAATTATATACCGAGGTATCGCCATGGACAATACGTACTCTAGGGATATGCAACTTCTTACAATTAATCGGATATCAACAATAAGATATAGTTTTAAACTCTGTTTGAATTGAGGCATCAAAGACTGTGTTAAACTTATTCTGTTCTACATATTCATTTTATATAACAAAAAAAAAAAAAACAAAAAAAAAAAAAAAAAACAAAAAAAAACGAGTGAAAACAGTTTTTTGAAGACGTTCCAGTTAAAAAATCTCCCAATTATTGTTTGGTTTGGCTATACATGTTGTTTCATTTCATTGGATTTTTTGAAATTTTCAGGCAATAAACACATGATTTCACAAAGAACAGGGACATGCATCTTAAAGATAAAGACACAAATTCATTGGCGCACCCCATGTAATTTTGTAGATGAAGAAATGCTAGTCTACAAAGGTCTGTCCCTCTATACTATAAAATCAACATAGTATAGAGGGGTAGAATATCTAGACTATAATTTCTTCAACTACAACATTAATGAGGAACGCCTATGACAAAATTGACCACAACATTTTGGTCACACAGGGGGTTGGGTGAAATGTTCTGTTCTTCGATTCATTGTGCTTTATTCAAAAATATCGAATCGCCAAAAATAGAAAATGTTGCGTCTTATATCTTAATTCTTATACACGGAGTTAAGGGCAGCTGCTTCCATATGAACATTTCAATATTCATTTAAAAGGGATAGTTCGACATTCTATAATGTAAGCTTTACATTATTTTTACAATCATAGATAAAGCGATGCTGTATACTAGTACAATTGTACATTGATCACTGTTCGAATTTGAAGAGGGTTCAAAGTAATAGGTATTCTAATTCCCAGTGTTAGCAAGTGCATGTGGTAATCTTTACCGAAATCATTAAAAAGCAACTTTGTTATTGTTAAGTATGAATTTATGAGATTTATAACATCATGGACGTTTTGAAAACATTGGTTCATTTGAAAATATAAGCCAAACGACTTAACGTTAGACAGTCATTTTAAGTTAATGAGAAACACATTCACTTTCATAAAAAGAAAACAAAATCAGCGTCGAAACTAATACAAGACGTAAGTAAAAAAGTTAGACGATTGATTTTACAAGTACAGGTACTGTATTGTATGAGAAGTAATTTTTAAAATTTTTTTACACACAGTCCTCAACAAAAAATGTTAATAGCGAACGGAGAAGTCTCATCAAAAATAAATTTGTACTTACTCTTTCTGAGTTCAAAACAGTCTTCTGCATTACATCTATATCCCTTACAGCAAGCATGACATATTGGAGTACCCTGGTCACCATGAATGACTCTTCCAGGTCGATGCCCGCCATTTTCGTTTTCTAACATTGCATGACATACCTAACAAAAATGTTAATGATAAAAAGACAATGCAAGTGTAATAGGAATAGATGAAAAGATTAACAATAAAATGCTTTCTTTGTTCATAGTATGAGAAGTTGCAGAAAAATTGATAACCTGTGTAAATAATAACGGCAATTAAATGAATGTTAATTCCAATGCTAACGTGGATAGAAAGACATTTTTATTCATGTCCACATCTGCACAATTAATCTTTTAAAGAAGGATTCAGCAGATTAAACATTGTGCAATGATATATTACTATTCTAAGTTTCATTGATGGAAGAGCTACCATTCGATAAATCTATTCAGGCGATACATGTATGCTGAATGTCGTTTATCGAATGATAAACGGTAATGTTGTTCTTAGAAATTCATGGAATGTAAATATTTGCTAATTAAGAAACTTTATATGAATAAATATCATCTCTATCTCAACGAATTTTACTTTTTCATACTAAAGTTTCTTTTTAAAACTTTCAGTTTTTTTTTCAAAGATTACTTAAAATTTTTCAAACATTTCTTATGAACATTTCGTTGATTTTGCGCACGGTGTATGTGGCAGTTTCGATAAAGTCAAAATAACGCTTTTTTACGTGAAGTTTTAGAAAATCAAATGAACGTTACTTTTGCTAACATTTTTTATGAAGGAAAAATAA